TTTAAGTTATTCATAGAGGTTATTCATAATGAAGATTTAAATTTTAATATGACAAGCGGAACAATCTTCTAATTCGTTTTAGAGAACTATTTATAAATACCTAATTTACACAAAAAGAATATAATTCAAGCACTTTGCTTTCATAACTGATTTTTTTCAATAGATTTGTTCATTGTTAATATCTTAATTATTAGCACGTAAGGTAAGATTATGTTAATGCAAAACAGTATTAATAAAATTGAGTCATGCATAATTATTTGTTGACGCAAATCAACAGTGTGCTCTCCTCATATGAAATTATTGCAGTTTGATTTTGACTTAAAATAACAACATTATAAGATTGCATTTATTATATTAACTGACTAAAAGAGCGAGAAGAAATAAAACTTATTAGTATTTTAGGATAATTTCAAGTAGGACAAATTCAAATGTCTGCCAACAATTTCCAAAACTATTTAAACCGCAAAAATAAAATTATTCTGAGTTTCAATAGCATAAAGAGCGAGCCAAGTTACTGAATATCGGAAAACGGTCGGTCTAATTGGATAAAAACATAAATGACACAAATATCGAACTAAAAATAAATGTTCAATTCAAGGGCATTCTTATTCTTATATTTCATTGTTTAACTCCAAGTTTAAATATATCATAACAAATTACATGTTTTAAGATAAAAAAATTTTAACAGTCTCAAGACTAAAAATTTATTAACAGGAATTATTACTATTTTTTGGCAGTGTTATGCTAACACGTTATTGTTATTCGGTAGTATGATATATTCAAAAATAATTTCAAAGCTCCAAATTAGAAAGCGACAATGAAAATAAATGAATGCCGTGGCCTATGATATAAAAAAAAAACTACTAAACAATAATATTCTCGTTGAGATAAGCTTTACAAGTTGTAATCCGTCAACAGAAGCATCTGTACTCATCCAAAATTAAAGTATAGATAAAAACTAGGCTTCGCTAACTTTAAAGACTACAAGAACTTTTGCATCAATAACATAGGCCAGTTTTTTAATTAAATTATATATGAAATGAACGTAGAATAATTTTGTCGAAGTTCACTTTCACTTAGTTCCTACTTCACACTTCTCGTAACGACAACCGTATAAGCACGTGTAACTATACAACTATCATCACTGCAGGTGTTGGTAGGTGAAAATAGAAGAAGACTGCTACTGCAGTATAAAACAACAAATCAATGTTAGAATCGTAAATTCTGTACTTATGTGTATCGTATGGAACTAAAAACCAACAGAAAATCAACAAAGTTACACGTGGGTTTTGATAAGCATTTGAATTTTTTAGCTTTCACGGCAACCCGTTGTAGAACGAACATCAGAAGACGATATCTCTTTATTTATTTATAATATTGTGATGGTTCTTTCACACAGAAAAGATAAATAAAATATAATAATAATAATTCATTGTGCACAATAACTATAAAAGACTAGGCAAGCAATTCAATTGTAGAATAATTACAGATTAGTTTTACAAGTTGGTCATCGATCAAGAATATCACTTATTGATCGTGATTTAAATATTTGAAACGTAAAATATATTATCATGACTGGAAAAATAATAATCCCGATACTAGTTTCAAAAAGGGCAAAGTTAAGGTGAAGCCAGTCAAGTTATTTTCATTAAAAAACAATTAACAGATGATTTAAGACAAGAACAAAAACGGTAGTCAGAGATACGTAACATATTTCAACTAATCGTAAACCACATTAATGATAATTGACGTATGAAACTTGGACAAAAAAAACATGATTACGAATATTCCTAAGTATTGAAGAAACGGTACTTTGAATAAATACATTTATTGACTAAATATTTCAACAGTTCAATGAATTGTTAATAAGAATACATTATAAATAGCAATTTGTAATCAGAAATCGTTAAAACATAATTTATAATAGCCTTAGAACATTTTAATTAAGTTTTATAAATGGTTTTTTTTACAAAAATGCATAAGTTTTTATTTCAAACTTGAATTTAATATGATAGCAACACATATAAGAATCAGAAATTTTCTATCCAGAATAAAATCTGCTAAATATTCTAAGAGTAAAAATGAATTTACAATTACTCTATTCTTTTAAATTTATCACACTTCACCTAAATGATATCGCGATAACTAATACTACTTAAGTGAATAACATAATTATTTTTCGAATTTAAATATAATTCCATTCAGACTAATAAAATTTCTGTTTTTCAGCATTACTAATAAACAAGTAAGAGATGTAGTTGAAAACAATTACCCCTAAAATAACAGTTAAAACGATATAAATTAGGTGCGTTGAAAACAATGATATCACAAACTTGACATATGAAGATTAACACAATATATACAACAAAATGATTTAAATATCATAGTAAATTACAAAACTGGATTACACAGCTACATTCTTTATGTACTTTCTTCGTGTTTTTTTTCGTCGCGAGTGCATCACAATATGTACGCAGCTTTAAATACAACTTATAAAAAAAAAACACTTTATTTGAGAGCCACCCTTATTAGATCAAAAATAAGTAGTAGATAAATAACATATATAAATCAACATTACCTATTATCGGTGCTATCGTATAAGCGTTAAATGGTCGTAACATACATATAAAGAATCAGATTAAAATTGATATTTTAGTAAAAATATGATAGCAAAAGCGGAAAGTTGGAATTTTTTCTATACGTTATTTCTCATAACACTCCACAAACGTATGGACTACTTAAGAGAGTTCATACTACACTTTGCGTATACACAGCATAATAGATTAGGATTGATCTTGTCCTTCAGAATCGGTGTACTCTTCCGTTATTCAGAATGTATTGAATGTTCACGTACGTATGAAAAACAAAATAACTCAGGTAAAAAGGAAAAAACAATCTTGAAAGGCAAAAATACTCATGTCAAACGTATTCTACGACTGGCCGACTATTAAGCGTAAAACATAATCAACTATAGTTGGTGTACATTACTAGATAAACACGAATATTAAAAATATTGGTAATAATAAAAATCACTTTGCGGGATCATCACGAAATTTTTTTCTTTATTTGAACTTCAATATTGTATTCACCAAACACACTTATAGGAGGATATTTTTATAGATTCAATCATCAATATATTTTTTCCAATACTATTAACTACATCGATTTCAATGTATATAATATATGCGTAACAGTGCACTTTTAAAATAGAAGGTTCTCTTAATTTTTAAGAATCTATTAAATCAAATGAAACAATTAAGACAATCAAACATTAAACATGCTTACTGGTACAATTGGTTAAAAGAGATGAGCACGTGTAACCATTCTAATTGAATTCGCGCCTTTTTTAAGCAATTACGAGTGCATGGTAAGTTACACAACAGTAATATAATAATAGTAATAATCGTGTAACGTTGTCAAGGTTTAGTGATTACTACTTTTTAAACTTTATTTATAACACGCATCGCGAAGAAATATTCTTAATTAATTCAGTAACTTGAAAATTATGTTGGGCTAGGTCATAAACATCCTATTGTCGCATTTACGCCATTACAAAACGATCAGGTCATAACAACGGGTTAAAGAACAACACATAATTTTATCAATTTATGCAAAATGTAGAAGACAATAAAGCAATAGAATGTTTTCTTTCATTCGTAGATCTGCCTACGAAATTATTGTATACTGTGTTAAATTAATATATTAATCGATACATCTATTAAATCGTAAATACCACAACATTTTAAAAATTATAATATCTTTTTATAATTATATTAAAATATTAATAAAATGACCTACTATACTAATTAGTTCATTATTCAAAATATATTTTTTTAAATAACAAAATTAAAAGGAATACACATACATTTACATAACGGGATTTTTTGAAAAAAAAATTTTTTAAATAAATTTGCAGCATGACAGTAAAAAAACATTCAAATTTGTCTTTATTTTTCATTTAAAAAATGTAAAATAATTATGTCAAAGTAGGTTCTCAATTTTTCAATAAGAAAAATTGAGATAATAGATAGTAGAAAAAATGTTAAGACCCATATATGTTATATTATTAAAATAAACACTGAAAAAAATAATTTAATAATTGAATTTTTCCCTTTGTTATTTTTATAACACACAAATATTAATAGACTCGTCTAACATTCCATACTAAATAATACATTAGTATTTAGTTATTTATTTTTGTTTTATTTTAATATATATAAAAAAAATTATCTAAATAATACTTATCATGACAAATGACAAAAATATTAACTAAATGTATGATCTATTATTTAAAAAAAAAACGAGTAACATCATAATATTAAACGGTGGTAAGTTGCTTTTGGGAATGGCCAAGTTAAATAATAAGTTTATTTACCATATGATTAAAGAAAAGTTGCCAAAATCTAAAAACTATATATAGGTGGTAGGTAATTTCAATCTTCAAAACTTAGTGAGCCAACTTTACAGAAATACAAGATAAATAATACTTTTAACTTTAATAAGATCTCTAAATGTACATTTTTTACTAGATCAGGAACATACTTAAAATATAATAAATTTCTATTATATGATTTTATATCCATAACATATGTATAGAAAAATTTATTTATTCAATTAATACATGAACTCTATTAAACTATTTTCACTTTTTTGTTGTTTTTTGAAAGTAAGCCACAGATATTGTATGAACACTTACTGATACTTACATATATCATACAATTTTCTCTGATACAAACAAAACCATACCACTTATGGTGAATATTACCAATCAATATTAATTATATCCATAAACTTAAGGAAACTATTGATAACGGAACCAATAATCATTAATTATCGTTTTATAAAATTATTAATAATACTTAAAATACTAAATCCTCAAATTAACATTTATCACCAAAATAATGATCTTAACTATTAAGCAACTTATAATTTATCAAAAAATTAAAGAAATGATTAATAGAAATCGAGTGCATATAATTTTACAAAAACAAATGACTTACTTTCTTTTGCTGTTTCTCCCATGCCGGGTCTAAGAGACCTTCCCGTTCCCATTCTTCTTCCGGTTCCATATACCCATTACTGTAGTCGATTCCGTTTTCGTGACTATTCATTGTCATCATTTTGAGTAATTTTTTTACTAGTTGTCTATGATAATACAAGTAATACTTCAGATATTTCTTTAAAGATTATTTCCCAAAGATTTTTTATTGTACCGTCCGTTCACCATAGATTTAAATAAAATTATAGAATCTAACCAAAGGATTCAACGCGTTAGGATGAAAGACGCGAGTGAGTTTATTATTAAAACCAAATTTGATTTAATGCGAATGTCAAGACTGGAAAAATACCGCACTACTAACAACCGGCGGTATCGCGTACACGCATCGAAGCAAACCGTGTTTTGTTGACGCACCGCAGATGCATACGTGCCTTCCACCCCATCTCCCTCTTAGATATTTTTGTACTCACTTAAACATAGCTGTGCGAGCCCCTCCAATTTTCACTTGAAAAAACCCGTAATCACCTTTGTCACTATTACCGCTGTCGTATACTATTGCAACAGAGTAAATATTTAAACCAGTGTGACCAAGTTCACAGTACTTGTACAAGATTACAAAATTACAAGATTACAAGAAACCAATATTTGCCATCAAAAATTTGTAAACTTAAACTGAATTATGATATTGTACACTATAAATAAAAATTATTTATTATTATTGTAAATAACTTTTGTATATACTAGGCAACCAAACTACAAAATATTGATACAAACAGTAAATAAAATATTGATATTAAAAACTAAATTTTTGGTGATAACAGCATAGCGTGATGTAGTTTCAAGGGATTTTGGGTAAAAATAGTTTTATAATAATTGAATATGATACTCCTTTCACAAAGTATAGGCATTTCATATGTATACCTTTAGCTAATGCAATGTTTAAGTAAAATGTAGATTCTATTAGGCGCAATATATAAATACTTTTTAAAACGAATAAGAAACATTTTTAGTCACCTAAAAATATTTATTCTATTCGTATGTACTCCACTCAGGGTCTATGTTCTTTAAATAACGTAAAAGTTTTTTTTTTACAGAAAAATAACTTTCAAATGTTTAAAAATACTCTCATCAACTGAACTCTAGTTATTCTTTTGATTAAATAATTACCACATAATTAAAACATGAATTTTAACTTTTTATCAATTTTTTTAAATTAAAACTTAATTATAAACAAAAAAAATTTAATTCCGTATTAATATAGTATTTTAGTAATACTAATAAACCTATTTAAAAATCTCTTTTTAAGTCGAGACTTGATGGTAACTAACAATCACACAAATTTGTGAGATTTAATTAATATTAAAATTTAAATATTCCTATTCAACTTATTCTGATAAGTGGAGCCAGATTTAGGGAAGCAGTTTGTCCCGGTCAAAATATCGTAGGGCAGAAGTATCATTTCGCCCTTCAATAAAATGTAACAAAAAAAGTTTTTGATAAAAATTTGGGTTAAAATAAAAACATTTTCTTTAATAATATGCTAGTTATATAACATTCAAGTTGTTCTTATGACCTAGCAAATGAAATTGATTAAAGTTAATTTTTTATTCAGTACTTCCAAGTTTTAATTTTTGATTGAATAAAAATTTTTCTGTTGAAAAAATTAGATTTGAAAGTTCTATAAATTGAACTAGACCGCTTCCAAAGTTAATGATAAGGATATATATATATATATATATATATTATTGTAATAAATAAAAGAAATTATAAATAATCCTCTAAACTATATTTTAATGCATTAACAATAACATAATAAAAAATAATATGCATTATTAAGGGTAATATTAAGGAACTACTGGATTTTATTTTATATAATCACTAAAAATAACTTTATCCGTTTTTATCAATCAAGGAAACCGATTCTTAATAATTTAATTTTTGTCATCTATGTAAAAAATAGTTAATATATATGAATCATATTTATCATAACTTAAGATACATAATACATTTAAACAAAATTAATTATTGACAATGTAATCTTAGTACGAACTAAGACAATATGGGCTGTACATCAGTGTGGCGAGAACGGAGAGTACGATTCGATTGGGCTTTGTTATAAAAATTTGGTAGAAGGGGGAATATTCAATTAGCAATGAGCTCTAGTGGCAAACATTTTCAGAATATAAAATTTAAAAAAACCCAGCACAGGGGGGTCGCAGCACAGTGGTGACATGGCATAGTTGGATCAAGTATAATGATATCTGACAGTGATTAAAATCACTATAAAAAAAAAACGCTTCGATGCAAATCTTTAGATAGTGTTTAATTTTAAAAAATTGGTGGATTATTCCAAAAGCTTCATAAACTGCTAGTTCCTTATTAATATCCTGATTAAGATAAAGTATGTCGAATGAAAAAGGGATTATTAAAAAATAGTATTTCCCATAAAAAAATTATATTGATCAATACACTTTTCAATAAGTTATAGCATTATAAAGTTAAAAATGTAAAAAATAAAATTGAGAATTTTCACACAATAATAGCATT